TGCTTTCATTGATATTAGTTAAAAAGTTTTATTGGAAATCAAATAACCATTTTTACATATCTGAATGTGAGGTAAAATCCGTCTTTTAAGAAAGGTGTATTTTACCTGGCAAACATTTTCCTTACTTCTGAGTAAATAAAATATTTTTAATTAAGAAAATAAAATACATTTACATGTGGAATACTGAGAATTCTTCTCGTGATCAGAGAATTATGAGTGGTTGTGAATTATTAACATTTATATGAAAAAGGAAAATATGACAGTGTGATTTAGTTGGCACTCTTCTCATCATGAACAAACTGTAAATTATTGTCATTGGGATCGAAATGTTTTAAGATGGTTTACATTAGCAATTTGTTGATAATCTTGTTCCCTTTTCCAAAGGGGACCCATGATAATAAGGAAGTACGAATATTACATGGTTATTAAAGTTTATTTATTTGATTATGACACGTGAGAGCTGTCTGCCTAAGAGCCAGGATGTTTTTATGGAGAACTTCGTAAGGTAAACTAACTTGAATCTACGTTGCATATTGGGAAGACAATAAAAATGCCCATGCAGGCAACCTGTTCTTATGGAATCAAACCCAAGTGAAATAACCAATGCACTCTGACTTTACTGCTCAGCTATTCGGTTAGCCTATGCGCTTGCTAAAGCAGAAGAAAAGAAAGACAGCTAGAGTACTAAAAAGGTGAACTATAGCAATAAAAAAATTTTTTAGATAAATTTGTTCATTATATACTTTTGTCAGTAAAGAAAATTTATTCGTTTAGTTGCCTTCTGAATGGATAAATACAGTTGAAAATAATTAACTATGCAATTATCAGCTGTTAACTGTCCTGAACATCACTGCCAAATGCATTTTGCAATCAAGCCTAACATGCTCAAATAATTTCTATAAAATCTGCTTTTTATCAAAATATTTGGGTTCTTGCTTTGCAATTCAAATGTTATTTCTTATATTATAAAGAGAACATACTGTTGCGTTCTGTACGGGTTCATGGATTTGGAGTGATTCACAATGACACTTGATGCAGCATCAAAACACAATTTATTAGCCAGTATTACTCAAGACAGCTGCAAAAACACATTTACAGTCATTGAAAAACTATGACAAATGCTCTGAAACAATCAGCTACACAGGCTTCAGGCTATAACAGCAAAGCACCAGAGTACAGCTCCCAACTCGTAGGGTTCGTACGGTCCTTAAGAGTCCTTAAAATTCCTTAGGTTTTTTTGAATCGATTTTTGGTCCTTAAAAAACCTTAATTTCGGCCAAAATCGGCAGAAGGTTTGTAAATTTAATCATCTGAAATTTCTGCCTTGTTTTTACGACTGCTATTTTGAGTGTGAATTATCATTTTCGAGGAATATTTTTGGTGAGTCACTGAACGAATATTACCTTTTGAATGGGCTCGTGGGTTATAATTTGTTTCTATTCTTAATATAAAAGATGTGATACAGGAGTTTCTGAGCAAGGAGTTAAACATAAGCATTTCAAAATTATTTCATTTCCCCCCCCCTAATCTAAAGCTCTTAAACAACTTTCCGCTTTTAGGGATGGTGTGAATTCTTTTATTAAACGGTTCTAAATATGGCGACTTATCAACATATTGGTGATTTTAAGATAAGTTTTGATAGAAAATGTTTAATTTGGAGATTTGGGGATTTTTCGACGATTTTTTTTTAAACATTGATAAATTTAACTAAAATAACGATAATATATTGAAATTATATTTAAGGAAGAACATTAAAATAAAAAATTTTCATTTTTTTGCTATCATTATAAAGTGACATTACTTTCCATTTTGGCGACTTGTACAGTATTTTGAATCTGAAAAATAAAAGAGGTAATAAATGCTATAAAGCACAGTCTGCAAAACAATTCATAGCAAAAGCAAAATAACTATGTAATTAATTGAAAATTTTTTCCTTTTAATTTTTGCATGGTTACATTTTTTCCCATGTAATTGTTTCAGAATAATCAGTTTTTCTCCTTAAAATTAATTTTATGCGTCTTTTTCCTAACTTTTAAATATGCCACCTTTTTCTGGTTGCAAAGGGTAGGGCTAATTTTTCTTTGGAATTTTAAACACTGCAACCTGGAAAGTTTAGAAGGATTTGAAGGCAAGATTTACAGACACACAATTCTAGAAGGCTTCAGAAAAATGTGACAAACTGAAAAGTGTTTTCATTGTATTTCACAAAAAGCTTGTGATGAATTTCTTACATTTTGGAAAATTTTTGGAAGGACAATGAAAACATGTTTCAATGTTGTCCTGCTGATATTAAAAGTCATTTTCTTAAAATGTTTACCTTCCCTTTATTTTCTCAACTTTTCACTAGACACAAGCATGGAAAATATCAAAAATGTTTCTGATCTTATTCCATGGACAGGCATTTATAAAAAAGAATTTATCTATTAATAAAGAAATTGAAAACTGACAAGTAAAAGATACACCTTATATGTCTCAATAGATCATACACAGGACTGGCGCTAGACATTTTCCCACCTGATGCAATCTCTGTGGATCCTAAATTCTGCCTCCTAGTGCTGTCCTAAAGTTTGCTCCCAGTGCCTGCCCTAAATTTTAGAAGTTTTGCCATTTCTAGAGTTTGTTGCTCGGTGTGTCACTAAACTAAAAAAATTCTACATTATCGGCTCTGAAACCAGCCCTTACCATATATCATTTCATATTTATTCTGAATGTTCAGCTTTTTCTTTACAGTCTAAATGCATCTGGTTTTTTAGAATAACAGAAATCTTTAATTAATTCCAAAAATTCTAAAGTAAAGAGGAAACATATCGAAGAAAGAAACTTTATTCTCACATTTGTTTTATATATTTTAAATTCTAAAGTGAAGAGGAAACATATTAAAGAAAGAAACTGAATATATAAAGGGGGAAAAAATTATTCTTCAAAGATATGTGCAGTTATTATTATGCAAATTAGCCAGTTGTTTACAATTTTAGCCTTTACTATAACTTCCCCTTTTCATTTCATCATTTCTCGTTTTAACCTATGCTGTTTGACATAACATTTTAAACACAGCAACCCTGCAACCTGTAACTAACTGCTGATCTTTAAAAGTTATCTCTGCATATTAAAGCAAGTTATTGCCCTTCATTAATCCTTGCCGTGATCACAAAATAAAACACAAAAATGTAAAAATTCATGTAAAACTTATTCTTTGCATCTAGTGAGACTTAAAATAATGCTGGATTACAGTCCCAGGAATTCTACATGAAGCTACAACATTAACTGCTTCAGATAGACAAAGCGCAACTAACTTTCAAAACTTGTCAACCATGTCTACATCAGGCTTTCTGGTTTGTTCTGATTAACAGGTCTCTCTCTTGTCAAGCAGCAGCACTGCAACAGCCAATCTTCTGTTACGAATCAGGTTGATTATGATTTTATTTGTCATTTTAACCTATTCCGTTTGATATAAAATGCACCTGTTATTTACTAAACCTCTACGCTAAGTATGTGCCAAAATGAGACATAAAAGAAAATATCAACATAAAGCTAACTGTTAGTAAAACATAAGTAAAATGTCACTTATCTTCTTTCAAATATTTCCAACTATTATACGTGTAAAATATTTAATGCTACTTGATAAATTTTATAAAGTTGGTTTTATTCTCAAATTTGTTTTATAGTTATGTTTATTAAATTATGTTTAGTAAGAAAGGGTCTATTTTATTCTTAGAGTGTTATTACAAAAGTGAAGTTCAAACATAAGTTGATTGAATTTATTCAGTTCCCATTTGCTGATAGGTCCTTAATTTTTTCAATAATGACCCTTAAAAGTACTTAATTTCCATGTGCAAAAATGTGTATGAACCCTGGACTCGTTGTTCTTGGAACTCTATGTACTCTCGAGACTCCATGCTACAACTCGCGATGCAGTCGGCGATACACTCGATAGACGCAAGTGATACTCTCGACGATCAACTCACTAGACGAGGAACTGACTGACTGATTCACTTACTCACTGACTGTCCCTGGTTGACTCTCACCCACTGCTACTCCATCTGCAGACAGGGTTTATATAGATTTTGGGCTGCCTTTGAGAACATTCTGGTCCAAACTGGTAAAAATTTATTCTAGAATGTTCTCCATCCGTCTATGGCATATTGCCAATTTTGTCATCAAATGGGAGGTTTGTCACCAACTATGGCAACCCTGCCTTCCATTGCCATTTTCTGGCAGCCCTAAATATGCCTTGTGGGAAAGCTATCTTACCACAGCTGACACTGCCCCCTACCAAGGACTGCACGTCCTAGGCAGTACAATCCTTGGTCAGAATTCAAATTCGATACAAGCAAAATGTAATAAAATAAACAAATAACATAGCTAAAGAAACAAATAGTTATACTGTGTACAAGTTATATATACAGATTAACCACATAACACTTTTAATTATACAAATAAAAGTCCATACTGAATTGCACTCTCAAGCTTTTCATTAAGTTATGCTTAAGTCAAGAGTACGTTTTCACTACAATTCTCAGATGTATTTCTGTTTTGTCTATCACAGTGTGGAGATTCAGTCCTTTCATGCTTTTCATTCACAGAAAGATCTGAAACAGTTTGTTCACTACTCTGTAGTTTATTTGCGTCGTGTGTACAATTCACCTCAGTACTTTGAACAGTTGATACATGATTTACCTCTGTTTCGTGAAAGCCAGTTCCGATGTTTGTATCAGAGTTATGAATAGAATCTGATTCTTTACAAACACAAGTATCCTGGTTGAGAAGCAAGTTCGTGTGTGCACAACCTGTGCTATGCACCATTTCTGACTTTGTATTGCATATATATATATAATTCAAGAAAAAATTTTTGAAACTATTGTTATCTAAAATATAGTTTTCCCTTTGCAAACATGTTTTAAATTAATTCCAAATCTTGCATCTTTCCATTAATGTTCACAAAAACCATTAAGTTTTGATTTTTAAATCATATGTAGCAAATTATCTTTCTTTGTATGTAGACTACTTGGGAACAAGAAAGGGAAAGGCTAAATTTAAGCAAAAAGCAAACTTTTGTTGACTTAGGCTGTGGGAATGGCCTTCTGGTTTCTATTCTGTCATCAGAAGGGGTAAGTACTATATTTTTATATTTTATGTTTTATTAATCTTAGGCGTGTTGGTGCATATCTTAAGCCAATTTTTAATCATGGATGTTGATATGGTTCATATGAGATGTTTTTCTGGTATAATTCTTTTAGTCTTATTTAATATATATTTTAAGTAAAACATAGTTTTATTTTAAAAAATTATTCAAGAAGGTTTTGTTCATTGTCCATGCCATCATGAATTATAATCTGTGAATTTTCATCTAAAATAGATCCATTATGAATGCAGAAATTGGTAAGTGATACATGTTGGAATATATTCTTTTGTTTTCTAAATTATAGGAAGTGAATCATGGAAATGAACTGTTATTTCAAAATAAAAGCACATGAGCATTAATATTCTTCTCTCTGCATGATTAAAAATTCTCAGTCTTTAAAAAAAAAAAAAAAAAAAAATCTGAAATCTGAAATGCTGACTATTTCCCTTTTCTGTAGCAAGATTTATTGAGAGAAAGTGATGTATAATAATGCATTTTTGCTCCTTGAAGAGGAATTCTTTAATTAACACTTTCAGTTTGTTTTCTGTAAAAGCAATGTCAATCTGAAATTAATCTTTGCCTTAATTAAAAAATGTGGGAAGGTGGTAGGAAAATAAAGATTTACGGTTGGTAAGGAATATTATGATATAGTAAATTTTTCAGTGCTGGCAAATTCTATGTTTTACTCGTAAGCAGTCCATGAGAATACCTATTACAACTTTATTTCTTTTGAAAATAGTATGCTAAATATCTAAGTTTCAGATAAAACTAGACATTGAATAAAAGTCTAGCTTATTTCTTAGTTATTAAATTTGGTATTTAAAATTTTCAGCTATTGGCCATTTATATAAAGAGCAACCATAATGTAGTACCTTTTCATAAAATTTTGCTCATTATTATCACATTTGCTAGCAGTGAAAATTTTTCCATCCTTAGAAGCCAGATTACAAATTAGTGTTTTAATAGCTAAAAATGTTTCTTAAATTTTACTAATAAAATCAGAAAAATGGAACATTTTATTTTCATATTTAACATAATGTTTTTTCCTGACACTCTAGAGTAGAGAGTCTCCAACCTCTCATGCCTGTGAGCCACATCTATAAATTCACAAAGATCTGCAGGCCACATGTCTGTCCAAAAAATAGTGTAGTCAGAAAATTTATATAGAAAAGGGAGGTTTGTTTTGCAAGACTATAGTTGATTCTAAGTGAAGAGATGTGTATACATTAGTTCCAAAAAGTCAAATGAATTCGAATTAAATGTTTTGCAACTCTTTTTAACTATAGAAAAAGAAAAGTATAAAGATGATTGTACAGAAAGATGTTACAATAGGCCTTTACAATAAAAACAGTTTACATTACTTGTTACTTTAGTTTTAATGTGAAATTTAACATTGTTTTTCTTGATTAAATCTTCAATATCTGGTTTAATCTGTGTTGTTGCAATTCATAAAGTTTCTTCTAAGTGTCTGTCAGCCATGTTCTTGTTTTTGATTTTAGGATTTTCATTTTACTAAGAAAATTTTCACATATGTAGGTACTGTCAAAGATAGAAGACATGAAGAGTGCATGTTTATATGAATTCCTGGATACTTGTCTTCTGTCACATACTTTGAATAAAAATAAATTAATGTAGGATTTTCAAGAAACTTTCATTTTACTGCAGTCACACTGTAAATCTAATAATTCTAATTGAAGTTTTGGTGGAACACTTTCAATGTCTACTGAAAATGGCGAGGAGAACATTCTCATAAAAATTTCATTTTCACGAAAATCGGAAATCTGCTTTTGAATTCCTCTGAAATTTGAAATGCATTCTACATAATTATTTGAATTCCATGTTGTAGAGTTCTTCACACACTCGATCAATTTTAGAAAGTGAGTTGAATTCTTTAGCAACTGACTTTCCCACAGGATTAATTTTGTCTCAAAAGCTTTCACAAAGTAATAAAGATTATGAACAAGTAGGTCTTTTCTCAGTAAGTGGTAGTTCAAATCATTGAGATGACTTGGAATATCAACGAGAAATGCAAAGTCTCCCAACCATTTCTTATTACTGAACTTGTGAATGGACTTCCCTTTAGATTCCATGAATTGTTGAACTTTGCTCTTCAAAGAAAACAGGCGCTGAAGCATCTTTCATCGGCTCAACCAACGTACTTTCGTGTAATACAAAATATCACCATATTCAGCTTCCAAATCATTCAAGAACTGCTGAAATTGCCTGGGATTAAGTCCTTTAGACTGATTGAAATTAACCACTTTTACAACAACATTCATCACATGTTCAAAGTTTGAGAAGTTCATTATTTAATGGTTCTAAATTTGGTGATTCATCGACATTTGGTGATTTTAAGATCAGTTTAAAAAAAAAAATTCATTCCGAGATCTGGGAATTTTTCGACGATTTTTTAAAAAATATTGTAACATTGATAAATCTGATTAAAATACAGGTAATATATTGAAATCACATTTAAAAAATAACATTAAAATAAAACATTTTTATTTTTCGCTATCATATTATAAAGTTCCATTTTGGCAACTTATTGTACAATATTTTGAATCTGAAAAATAAACAAGGTATAATGCTGTAAAGCACAATTTACAAAACAGTTCTAAGCAAAATCAAAATTAAATTAGCTGTGTAATTAATTAAAAAATATCTTTTTAATTTTTTCATAGTAAGAGTTTTTCCCATGTAATTGTCTCAGAATTCTCAGAATTTGCATCCGTTTTCTCTATAAAATTAAGTTTACACTTCCCCCCTTTTTTTCCAAAATATTTCAGGCTTTTTGCTATTACAGAATTGGTAGGGATAATTTTTGTTTAGGATTTTAGATACTGCAGCATGGAAAGTTTAGAAGGATTTGAAAGCAAGATTTATAGACACACGATTCTAAACGAATCAAGAAATATATGACAAAATGAAAGATGTCTCCATGGTATTAATACATGATATTAACTAATGGATGTATTTTACAGGAAGTTTGTGATGAATTTCTTACTTTTTGGAGAATGTTTGGAAGAAAATGAAAACATAATATTTGAGTGTTTTACTTCTGATACTAAAATCTTTTTCTTAACATGTTTATCATCCCTTCATTTTCTGTACTTTTCACTAGACACAAGCATGGAAAATATCACAAATGCTTCTAAACTTATCACATAGACAGGCGTTACAGAAAGGAATTTTTTTTATTAATAAAGAATTTAAAACATTCGTCTAATATGCCTTAATGCATCAAACACAGAGCTGGTGCTAGGCATACCCCCCCCCCCCCCGATGCAATCTCTGTGGATCCTAAATTCTGCTGCCTAGTACCTTTCTAAATTCTGCTTCCAGTCCCTGCTTTAAATTCTAAAAGTTATGACATTTCTAATTTGGTTGCTTGGTGTATCACTAAATTCTAAAAATTCTGCCACACCAGCTCTATAACCAGCTCTTAGCATATATATTTCATATTTCTTTTGAATGTTTATATTACTAAAGAAATAAAATTAGCAAATTTTTCTATACATTCTAAATACATTAATTTTTTTAGGATAACAGAAATCCTAAATTAAATCCAAAAATTCTAAAATGAAAAGGAAATGTGTTGAGGAAAGAAACTGAATACATAAATTATTCTTCAAAGATATTTGCAGTTATTATTATGTAAATTAACCAGGTGTTTATGATTTCAGCCTTTACTATAATTTCTCATTTCTATTTCCTCATATGATAGAATTACTGAGCGAGCTTAAATCAAAAGAAACTTGTATAGTCCACACGTTTAGTTTGAATTTGACTGTTCTTGTTTAAGTACATCACCACGAGCTGTAATTGATTTTGTTAGCATCAGAATATGTTGTTATGTTCTAAGTTCTTTTTAAATAGGATGCTTATTTAAACCTTTGTCTGACACTGTAGTTGCTTTCGGACATAGTGATAATGTGCTTCACGTCTTTGGGAGGTTTTTGGACTATTTAATTTTTATCAGATCAAATAAATCCTCATAGCTAAGATGTGGAGAGTTTGACAAGTTATGAGATAAAGCACCCAGAAACTAGTGAGAACACTGGTTTTCAGATTGAGATAAATTTCTGGTTGATAGAAAAGATGCTTAAAGAGAAGGAAATTGATACAAATTAGCCAAAATCTCTAAGAATGCTTCAGATTAAAAAGACGCATAAATATTTTGTTGAGTGTTGTATGTGGAGAGTTTGACAAGTTAGGAGATAGAGCACGCAGAAACTAGTGAGAACACTGGTTTTTAGATTGAGATACATTTCTGGTTGATAGAAAAGATGCTTAAAGAGAAGGAAATTGATATAAATTAGCCAAAATCTCTGAGAAGGCTTCAAATTAAAAAGACGCATAACTATTTCATTGAGTGTTGTTGTTACAAAACATAAATGTTTTGTAGCTTTTAATGTGTTATATTCCTAATATTGTTTAAGAATCAATGTCATAAATTACATATATTTTAAACTGTGAAATTTTATTACATTGTGGTTTTAATAGGACTTTTTAACAAATATTGTTAAAGAAATAAGTAAAATTTAATGGTGGCCATGTAAATCCATAATAACTATCTAACTACCTAATTTAATTATTTTGTCTGACTGCTCACCCTTAAAAATTCTCTCTGCATAGTAAAGCGAGCCATTGCCTTTCATTAATCCTTACCGTGGTCACAAGATAAAACACAAAAGTCTAAAAATCATGTAAGGCTTATTCTTTGCATCTAGTGAGACTTAAAATAATATAAAACAACTTATCACCCGTGGGGCGTCAGTGCCTTTTTGGGACCTTAAAGTATATTAACTGGGTTAACAATCCCTGGAATTCTACATGAAGCTACGACGCTAACTGTGTCAGACAGAGCCTAACTTTCAAAACTTGCGAGCCATGCCTACATCGGGCCTTTCAGGTTTGCTCTAATCAGCAGGTCTTTTTCTACAAGCAGCAGTGGTGACAATATCTAGTCTTTTGTTATGATTCATG